TTGGCTTTTTATTTAAGCAGAAAAGTTGTTCTAATACCCATTTTATTGTCTGATATATATGTATATATGTGTGTGTATATATATATATATAAATTTTTTTTTTTTTTTTGAGTCAGAGGCACACATGCACAAATCGCAGAGAGATTCTTTTGGAGTGGCTGGTTTACAAATACTTCTACCCTGTTAAATCCGTGCTAAACACTATTGTGGCTGTAGGGCCCAAGAAAGGAAATCCACACAATTGTCTGACCTTGAGGTTTTGTCAGGAGCCAGCAGATGGCAGCAGTTCAACACACAGGTTTATAGAGGCAATATACTTCAAGTCAGTTTATTTTATCGGTTTACAATCCTTAATTTTAGGGAAATGTCATTTGGGAGGAAGTGCTTTTAGAAAGTAGAAAATGCCTTAGGAAAGCAAAAAAAAAAAAAGTGTTTTTAAAATTTAACTCTTATGTTATTTTATTAGGGTATTAGGGCTTCTTTTAAAGTAATATGTTTTGTTTCTTAATATTTAGGGAATTCTTTCATAACTTATTTTTCCATTTAGCTGAAAAACTAGTTTGTTTCTCCTAAAGAAGTGTGTCATCTTGTGGTGCCTCTTTAAATTGCACTTAAAGATCGGAGGAGAGTTACTGGATTCCATGTGAAGCCCACACTTGTGAGGCTGTGTCTTGGAGTGAGTAACACACTGTAACTGCTTATTAGTCAAGCTCAGTTGCATGCCAGTATCTCCAAACTAGCATCTCTAGACCTGAATCTTACCTTATTTTCTATGGTTGCATTTATTAATAGGGAGCCAGGTATTTACCTGGTTAAAGAAAAAAATAAAGGAGTAAGTTCTTTGAACTGTATGTTATTAATGAATTATTAAAAGTTTTATGTTTTATAGAAACATTACTCAAATTCCACTTAATAAAACATCATTTCTTATAGCTTTAGCAAAAAAAGAGAAAGGAAAAAGGAAGTTTTCTTTTCTTTCAAATAAACTTAACAGTTATTAGTGATGAAAGTCTTTCTCCATAAAAAGATCACTTCCTTTTAAAAGGGCAAAATTTTAAATGTCAATGTGTAATAATACTAGTAAATGGCATCCTTAATTTTTCTTGACCATTTTTCTTTAAACTTGGGTAGTGCTTTCTATAAACATATGCATTAGAAAAATGCCTTGTCAGTTCAAACCTTGTCTTTTTGTATCTGTGACAAGAGGCCCTCAAACTCCCATTTAGAATTATTTTTCATAAATATAGTTCATATATTATTTACTGTGTTGCTTATATACAATACATTGATAATATAATTTTTGTATTACATTTTGTTGACCCAGGAATTTAATTAATTAATTTTATATAATGTGTTAGTCTAAAGAAAAACTGAATATGGTAGATGCATTCACAATTCTTATTGTTTTTGCAGGGAATATTCTGGAAATTGCAATGAGATCTGAGGTATCATTTGTTTAGAAAAACTTGGGTAGTGGTTTCCTCTCAAGAAAGTTTGGAATACACGAGAGACCATCAACTTTTGGAGTGGAGTCAATCAGAATTTGAATCTTAGCCCTGCCATTTTCTTGTCATTGGAGTTCTAGGAAAATGATTTAATCTTTTTGAACAGAGCTCTTTATCTCTCAAAGTGTGCATAATGATTTCAACTTCAGAGGATTTTGTAATCGTTAAATGAGATGGCAAAAAATCAAAGCACTTATTTAATGCGATGCTTATACATTGTAGTTATTCAGTAAATGTTCTATTCATCATTGAAATTTTAATTCTTTTGCCATTCATCTGTGAAATGTTAGTGCAGAATTATTTTCAACAGCTTTGAACATAGTTACATTAACCTTTTTTTTTTTTTTGTCTGGAAGAAAATGGGTGGGGCAAAGACATTATAGATGCCAATATCATAAAGCATTATTATGAGGACACTTCGTAAAACTGTCAGTGGAGGTTATTCAGAAATAATTTAATACTCTAAGATTTACAGAAGAAAATATTTTATTGCATACAGTCCATTTAAAATTAAATGTACCCTTTGAGAATTAGATTTCAAAAATTAGGAACATTCAGGTCGCTTTCACTTAAACTATCATTTAACTTACGTAAGAGAGACACTGTATTTTCTTTTGTATTTTAATTTAATTTTTAGCTTTACATCTATGTACTTGAATATTTTAATCAAATTCTGTTGGATATCAAAATCATCTATCTAATAATTAGACTACCAGCAATCTCGGTTATGTGTAACCTTGTATTTAAAAGAAAATAGCTTAGGGGTGCCTGGTGGCTCAGTTGTTAAGCTTCTGCCTTCGGCTCAGGTCATGGTCCCAGGGTCCTGGGATCGAGCCCCGCATCGGGCTCCCTGCTCAGTGGAGAGCCTGCTTCTCCCTTTCCCTCTGCCTGCCGCTCTGCCTACTTGGGCTCTCTCTCTGTCAAATAAATAAATAAATAAAAATCTTTAAAAAAATAAAATAAATAAAAGAAAATAGCTTAATGTTAAAAGAAAATAGCTTAAAACAACCTTAGTAACTGTATATGAAATGATGCGATGAAGTAGTGATTTAACAGGTTTAAGCCATGCATTTGTCCTAACAAGTGGTTCACTAGATTAGATGCAGTGAAGGGCATGTAGTGGGGGAGACCACTAGAAACCTTTACTTTGAAACAGCTGTTTTGAGGAAGGAGTCCCATTTTATTTTATCCTATTAATATCTTTTAAACTATGTATATTACACATAAATTGCTCAGTGTAAAAAAAAAAAAAAAAGTCAAGCAAAGTATTGAAGCAAAAATGGAAAGTTTCCCCTTACCTCAGTCTTCCCTAATGCCAGTTGCACTACGATCTTTTTTTCCTTTCTGGTGGTAAACACTGTTAACAGACCGGCATGTGTCTGTGAACACCGTACTCTGTGCTGTCAAATCACAACATTTTGTTGTTTCAATATATATGGATTCACACTGTATATATTCTGCAACTTTTTTTTTTCAGTTATTTTAGAGATCTTATGTCAGTATTATAAATCCATTTCTGCATATTTAACAGATATTTGGTATTTCAAAGGATGGATATTTCAAAATTAACCATTCCTCCACCAGTGCTCTTCAGACAAAGATGCCAGGTACTCATCTAGAGTTGAACAAGTTGTATTTATTACATTTTACAGCAGAGGAGAGTCTACACCGTGGGGAACCAAGTGTTTCAGTAAGAGGATGTTGGAAAGGATTTATTACAGGATTGGGCTTGTATTAGGTGATTTTTTTTCTGGTTAATTTTTTTAACCATAGTTTTCCTATACATGTCTTTACCCATTTAAACATTTTGGATAGTCATGTATTTCTTTTTGAGTTGCTAAGGTTTTTTATATACTATGGATGCTGGTCCTGTGTTATTCTTGTGGCAAATATTTTTCTCCCTGACTCATACATGTCTTTTTATTTTTCACAGGAAGACTTTCTCCACCCTGAGATTAAAATGTGATTAATCTTCTAACAAATTTATTTTACTTTTTCTTTAAAATATTTAGATTATTAATCTCTCTGGAATGTGGGATTTTTGTGTATGCTGTGAGGGAAAGGGCAATTTTTTCCAGATCTGTAGTATCCCAATAGCATTTTTTGACCATTCCCATTTATTTCTCACTAATTGGAAATACAACATCATGTTCTAAACGCCTACATAGACATCAGCCTGCAGTAAAATATCTCTTAATTGACCTCCATTCAATTGAGTGACTGGAGTAACTGATGTTCTCTCTTCCCTTCATATAATATACTGACTGGAGACCACAGTAAGCTTAATGTTTACTGCTAGTAGGCTACTCAGTACTATGGTGATAACAATTCTGTTTCTGCTAATTGAGTTTTACTCAGATATGGGCATTCTAAAAACTTTATGCCAGCTGGGCTTGTCATTGTATTTTCATTATTTAATCAGTATTATGTAAATCATTAAAATATGAATACAAAAAGAAGGAAAGGTGCCATTTCAAAGAAAACTAAACTGGATGCTTTAGAAAGAGACGTGGGTCACTAAAAAACTTGTGGCTGGTAAGGACATTTTGTTTACTTAAATTTTGTTAATATATGCATTTATCTAAGTAATTCTAGGAACAGAGAATGAAATACATGAATCAAGAATTACTTTTGGCCTGCAGGAAAATCTCTAAAGTGAAACCTAAAACTTTAGCAACAACAACAAATTATTGAATTGAGTACATCTGATGTATAAGATGTTTGTTTCCTGAAATACAGACCTTTTTATATATTTTCTTGTAAAACAGTTTAATGTTGCAATCCATCTTACAGCTTTAAATTTTAAGGATATTGATACAATAAAAATGTGCTAGTAGAAACCTAAATTGTTAATAATCTAAGTGTAGTGTTTTCATACCACAGGCTGATGTCTTTGGAGGCATTTAGAACATAATGTAGTATTTCCAGTTAGTTAAAAATACTGATCATTAACCCTAAATTTAAGAATGAAGACCAGATTACTACAGGGTATTAGTTATCTCTTGCTGTGTAATATCCTACTTCAACACTTAATGACTTGAAACAATAAATATTTGTCATCTCAGTTTTTGTGGGTCAGAAATCAGAGTGGCTTAGCGAGGTGGTTTCTGTGTCAAAGTTTCTCATGAAGTTGTAGCCAAGATGTCAGCCCAGAGAGCAGTGATTTGAAGGCTCGACTAGGGCTTTCAAATAGCTCACAGGGTGCTGGTTATTGTGAGGAGCCCTTACGTCCTCCCCATGTGGGTCTATTATGTGCAGTCCAAGAGAGAGCAAGATAGAAGATGTAACAGAAACTATGAGTTTGAGAAGTCACAAACTGTCACTTCTGCCATATTTTATTAGTTAAAAATGAGTTGTACAGCTCATACTCAAAGGGAGGGGAATTAGGCACCTTCTCTTGAATAAGAGTAACCACTACACTGCAGATATTTATTCTGTGTGCATATGGATCAAGGAAAGGGAAGGATTCATTTATAATGTTTGGCTTCTTTTTAGGACACTGCTTTAGGAAAACCACGAGAAGTGTTTCGACTTCCCACAGATTTGACAGCATACGACAGTCGTCTTTGTGCATCTATCCATTTCACATCTTCTACCTGGGTTACCTTGTCAGATGGAACTGGACGATTATATCTCATTGGTACAGGTGAACGTGGAAATAGTGCTTCTGAAAAATGGGAGGTGCGGTTTTGTTTTTTGTTTTTTAGATTTAAGCAAAGTCTGGAAAGTATGTATAAATTAGACCTTAGTGATTTTGGAATAACTCTTTCTGGGCATGGTTTATGTGTGACCTCTTCATTTTTATAATATATAATGTTTTGGAAATTTTTAATTAAATTATAAAATATATACCTTTTACAAAACTGGTATCTTAAACATTTCTGGTTTGATCTGGGGTCATTGCAGTTGTCAAGAATTGCATTCATTTGTTCAGCGAATGTTTATTGAATGCTTTATATTATGTGTAAAGCAGTACACTAAAGTATTAACATTGCCTCCTTCTTGATGAAGAGTTAACCAAGAATGACATTGGGATATCTTTTCTCCTCTACACATGTTATATTTGCTGGTATCTTTATGACCCAGCACACTTCTGAGGCACCACTTGCTAGCTATCTGGTAAGTTGCCATTAGTCAAATGCTGAGTTTACCAGAGTATTCCCTACTTAGAAGAATACACTGTAACATAAACATAGTAATGTGCCAATCTCTAAGATGCTATTTTTATTTCAGTTTTCTAAAAACTGCAACATTTTTAAATCTGAGGGGCAGATTAGGATTTTAATAATAATAAATAAGGAATTAATTTCTCTAGAGCCACAGTTTTTGAAGGTGGGAAAGAATGACACTGAGTTAATACTAATAAGTATATTGTGGTACTGCTATTGTCTAAATCTCAGCAGGTGGCCTTTTAGTTCTGTGTAGATAAAGAAATATGAACTTAATTTATTTACATCTTGTAAAATATTTTTATCAGACCATCAGATGCCTAACAAAGATCAGGCTTTAATTGTTTGAGAGAAATCAAGAAGGCCTTAGAACCAAATGGCTTGCCTTTCTTACTAAGTTATATTAAATGGTATACTACCAAATTATAGTAATTCAAAAAACATGATAAATAACCAAAACAACAGTAGCCTGTTTGTAGGGGGCCTTTGCAGGCCTTTGTAGTCACAGATTTAAATATTCATTGGACATTGTGACATTTTTCTGCTCTGGCCTCCAGTAATAATTTTTATCTTTTTTCTTTTTTTTTGTATTACTGAGGCAATGTGATACATAAATAGCATAGCTATCTGAAGCATTTGGAAGGAGTTTGGAGAGTAAGGGGCAGGAGAATGAGAATTTATGTATTATCAAGCTATGGATTCTGTTGGTTTTGAGCAGAAAGAGACACACTAACCCAGCTTACCTTCAACTTAAAAATAACACCGCATACTCTGCCATAAGGAAATTCATACAGATTTATAAATCATTTGGTTTATGCTATGTATATCCCCTTGGTGCATATTAAGCCTTTAGTAATATTTTTTAAATCATTTAAAAATTCTTTTAAATTTAAATTTACTTCATGCCCTCTTCAGTATACACTGCTGTAATGAAATCGCCCTCAGAGATGTTTGCAATTAATAATAGTTTTGATTGGGGAGAGGGGAAGTGGGACAGGAATAGGACTTGGGCATTAACTGAGGTGGGAGGGATACTGTGGAATACTGGTCACTTTAAGAGAAACAACTTAGGAGAGTTTTAGGACTTTGCACAATTGGTGGAACAGAGAGGAAGCTAAAGGTGGGAATGGTTGGAGGATACAGGAGGGCATAAGGGGGCCAAGTAAGGGCGGTGATGATTGCAGTGTAGAAAGAAAAATAAAGGAAGACGGGAAGACTGCCTGCTTTGCAAGTGTGTTGCCTCTAATATGATGGGGGCGTTGCTATCAGCCGTATCACGCTTGAGTTGCTGGGCTTGTTCAGGAGACAGGAAACTTCAGCCTAACAATTCATAAAAGCTTAGACATCTACTGCCTGGTCTCATTCCAGTCCCTTTCACTCACATGAAATAGAAAGAAGAGGCGGAAGCAATAAACTAGCTACTTGTACCTGACAAAATTTACTATCTTTCTTTTCTCCCTTTGGTCTCCTATTGTCCCCCAAACGAAAGCAAAACCCAGTCAAACAACTAGAACCTGTCTGTCATCTCAGTTTTGAGTATTCGAGGTATTTTTTGCTGTTCTTGCTATTTTCTGTTTGTGGAAGACCACAGAATGGATTCCAAAGGTCTACTATTTGAATAATTTTGGCAGAGGTGCTCAAACACTTAGGGAATTGACACTAAAGCACACTTTTCTTTATAAGGCTTTCAAGTAGGAGCAGATAGGGTGGGATTCCAGATAAAGGGTTTTTTGTTTTTGTTTTTTTTAAAGCTAACTTTTGTCATTTGTATGTTTTCTTCAACCATTTATTTTTTTATCCAAAAATCTTGTTTAGTGAACAGTCTTAAAATATCTCTTTATTATTTGCTCTTAAATAAGTATAATAGTTCTTTAGATTTTGTGTTTGTGATAGAAAAAAGAATTTAAGATTTTGTGTCTCTGAATAGTGCTTAGATTTGCTTTTTAAAAAGACACTTCAGTATTATATTTAAATAGTTTGTTGAATTATAACTTTTAAATGTAAAGGGGCTCTTTTATTTTTGAGAAATAAAGAAGTTTTAGTGGTGTCTCCAATTCCTTTGACTCTGACCTTTGCAGACTTCTAAGAAATAAATAGAAGAACAAAACAAAAACAATAGGAAAAACCATACATACACACATGTGCACACATGTGCATGAACATGAACAATATTCAGAAACTAAGAGGAGCAAAGCAGAAATAAATCATACACAAGATAGGAGAAGAGATAAAGGAGTCAACATTGACTGACTCATGGCCTCTTTGTATAATTCTTTTCTAGGAGGTTGCTTCTAGTTCTCTTTCTTCTTTTTATGCTGCTTGGATGCCATATTGTTTTCCTTGTTTTTAAGCCAAGAGTACTGATCACTTTTCTCTATCAAACAAATAGGCATTTTTAAAAAAGTTCTTTCTTCAAAGATGTTATTTGAACTTGTAACCTTTATTTAAAGGCTTTTTTCATTTTTCTATTCCTTGTACTAAATAGTATACAAATTAGTTGTGTTGTCAGAATTCTGTGCATTCCCTCTGTGCTACCTGCATTTGTGTAATATGTACATTTTTATATGTGTAATCTTTTTTTTTTTTTTTGGTAGATTATGTTTAATGAAGAGCTTGGGAATCCTTTTATCATAATTCACAGTGTCTTACTGCTGAATGCTGAAGAACATTCAGTAACTACCTTACTTCTTCGAATAGAGAAAGAGGCATTGGATATGAAAGGAAGTGGATTCTATGTTTCTTTGGAGTGGGTCACTATCAGAAAAAACAAAGGTAAAATGTAACAACATTGTGAATCCATAGTGGTTGGCACCGTTTGGTAGATTTTGAAATGCAGAGCTGTTCCTGTGAATGCTGTTGACTTTTTCCTTGGGTGGTGTTGCTGTAATCTAATACCCGACACCTAGTGGAATGAATTCCTGTAGATAGTTTCCCTTTGGGTATGGATTATAGAAAAAATAATAATGTGCTTCCACAGTCAGTTATGCCTTTCTGTATAAAAGAAGACATTCTTACATAATTTTAGAAGAATTTTAAGTGTATATTTTCAGTATATACAAGACTACATACATATATTCTTGTGTGTATGTAATACATACATTGTTGAATGTAAATTATAAATTACAGTGTAATTGAAGTATCAGTTAAATATAAATACCTAGACAAACAAATACCTTTATTTCCTTGAATCATAACTGTGATTTCTTTTGAATCTAATTGAACTTTGCTGTTTGTTTCTACCTTCAGGAAAACTGCTGGCTTTTCTTACCTAGAGTGCTTCCACGTGTAGAAAAGTCTCAACCCTTGGTCTGTTCGAATCTGTCAGGCTTCTAACTTGGACATTAGAAGTTATTTTTTCATTTATTAATTAGGATTCCTTTAATGGTGTGTCCTTGTTCTTCGCCATTGCTTATTAGTTCTTACTTTAATTGAGAACTAATTGGATTTTTCTGTAGTTGAGAACTGAGGGAGCTTGTTTCCATGATGATTCTCCCCGCTTTTTCTCAGTTTTTATTAACTTACTCATTTAACTTATGAGCCTTAAATTATAGCTGACCCTTGAACAACACAGGTTTGAACTGTGCAGGTCCACGAATATTTTTTGGTAAATACAGGACAGTACTGTAAATGTATTTATGATATCCTGAATAACACTTTCTTTAGCTTATTTTAAGAATATAGTATATAATACATATACAAAATATGTGTTAATCGACTGTTTTTGTTATCAGTAAAGCTTCCAATCAATAGTAGGCTATCAGTAGTTAAGTTTTTTGGGGGAGTCAAAAGTTATACACAGAGTTTTGACTGCACAGGGCATTGGTGTCCCTAACCTTCATGTTGTTCAAGAGTTAACTGTTAAGTTTACAATCTGATAAAGGCTATTAGTGTTTGATTTCTAAGAGGGCTTTTTTATTTTAAAATGAATATGTGTATATGTACATATATGTACATGTATGTGTGTGTGTATATACATATATATGTAACAGAATAGTTTGTAAGTAAGCTGAGTAAATTTCCTAGATTGGTTCTGTGAACTGTTTAATATAATTTGTTGTTTTTCCCAGTGTTGTAGTTTCATCTCTGGAGAAACACAGTAACTTAAAACTTTAGGTATTGGAAAACTTTCTGTATAGGGCAAATGGTAACCATACAATTTATATCACAACTATTCAATTATGCCACTGTGGTCCAAAAGCAGCCATAGATAATACATAAATAAATGAGTATAGCTGTATTCCAATAATACTTTATTTATGGACATTTGAATTTTATGTAATTTTAACATGTATTTAAATATTATTTTGATTATTTTTAGTCATTTAAAGAGGTATAAAATTCATTCTTAGCCCACAAACCATATAAAAATATGCATAAACTCAGCTTTGTCCCCACTGGCCGTACTTTGCCGGTCTCTACTTTAGATAAGAGAAACTTTAATTTTTTTATTGAGGTACGTAACTTGACAACTTACAGAGAAATCATGATGCATATTTTTCCTCCTGTTCTCTGGTTCTGTGACAGCTGTGGCTCAGTTCACGATAACTTACCAGAATGTAGAGGCACTCTGCTCAAGCTTCACCACCTGCATTTCCTTCGCTTTGTGTCTTTGCCTCTACTGGACAGATATAATTAGACTCACTTTTCTTTTTATCTCCCAAGGTTGTAATTTAGGAATATTAATTCTCCCCATGGTTCACTTTTTTTCTCATTACTCTTCTTAATGTCTCATTCCTTTCACCCCTCCCAAGTATTATTAATATAATTGTTACTCTTTTCCTTTTTCTTTTTTAATGAACATAACAGTGCTTTTCTAAACTGTGTTGAGTGGAACATCTGATAATTGTTTTGTGGTCAAATAAACTTGAAAATGTGGGTGTATAATATCCCTATTACACATTAAACATGTTAAAAGTTCTAGAAATTTTGAGTAAAAAGGACAATTTAATTTTAATCAAGCATTCCCAACTTATTTAATCATGGGGTTCACTTGAGATTCACCTGTTATTTTCTCCTGCACACATATTGGGAAAAGCCACCCTATAAACTATGTAGTATCTAAGTCTGAGTCTTTGGAGTCAGGTAGGACTCTGCCTTGCATGTACTGTGCAGGAAGTATATTAGCTCATTCATAAATTTACAAGTCTATTCTTAAATATGTATGAAATGAATGTGAATGTAGGTGAAGATTTAGAGGGAAAAATGACAGATACTTTAGAACAGATTGTATCATTATGTAGAACATGTGACATTGAGTTGCGATCATTGTGAAGCTTACTTGTTAAAGTACAACCCACTTTAATAGAGTAACAGTGTAAGTAAAGGTATGGACTCAACTGTAATGTTTGAGTACTTTTTAAAGCAAAAAAAAAAAAAAAGCCCACCTATTTTCAAGAAAGAATTCAGTTTTTTTATATTTCATTCTTAAAATTTATGTCTTAAAATTATCTTTTTTAAATTTTATTTTATTATGTTATGTTAATCACCGTACATTACATCATTAGTTTTTGACGTAGTGTTCCATGATTCATTGTTTGTGTATAACACCCAGTGCTCCATGCAGAACATGCCCTCTTTAATACCCATCACCAGGCTAACCCATCCTCCCACCCCCTTCCCCACTAGAACCCTCAGTTTGTTTCCTCAGAGTCCATAGTCTCTCATGGTTCGTCTCCCCCTCCGATTTCCCCCCCTTCATTTTTTGCTTGATTACAGTTGGCATGTAGATCTGTCTCTGTATAAAAATCATTTCTACCATAAACATTTCATTTTATGGAAACCCCTTATCAATAGCTAGAATAGGCAGAAAAATAGTCCACCCCATACCTTTCCTTTATCCTTAGTGTGGCTCTTTTCAGAAGATGCCTATCATGTACGTGCTGGGAAAGTAGACAGGCTACAGTAAAGGAAAAGGTAGATCCATCAGAAGCTGATATTTCAGGTAAGTTAGTCACTTTCAAAGTCTAGAGCACTGCTGTCTGATGAAAATTTCTGCCAGGTGGACATGTTTGTATGTGTGCCATTTATGTGTGTCATTTATTTGTGTGCCAATAAAATAGCAGCTAGCCATGTGTGGCTGTTGAGCATTGGTGCCTGAAGAACTGAATTTTAAATTTTACTTAATTTTGATTAATTAGCCCCTATGGCCAGTAGTGTGCTACTTTCCACACTGGAAAGCACAACTAAGAGCAAATTTCATCAGACCTAGTATTTTAAAGTAGGAGTGTATTTACAGAAAATTAGGTTATAAATCTTTTTATCCCTATGAAAAGACTTAGTAGCATGCTTTTTATTATTTATTTATTTGAGAGAGAGAATGAGACAGAGCATGAGAGGGGGAAGGGTCAGAGGGGGAAGCAGACTCCCCGCCCAGCAGGGAGCCCGATGCAGGACTCCATCCCGGGACTCCAGGATCATGACCTGAGCCAAAGGCAGTTGCCTAAACAACTGAGCCACCCAGGCGCCCCAGTAGCATGCTTTTTAACGGTACACTTAAAATTCTCAATTTTAATTAAAACCAATATACAAATATTTTCAGGATATTTTTATAATATAGTGTTTTATTTGTAATTTTTTTGTTCTAAAATTGTTTTCTTACAGATAGTAACAAATATGAAATTATTAAATGTGATATTCTCCGTGGAAAGTCAGTGCCACATTATGCTGCTATTGAGCCTGATGGGAAGGGTCTGATGATTGTCTCCTACAAGTCCTTCACATTTGTTCATGTTGGTCAAGATCTTGAAGAAAATAAGAATGAGAACATGTCAGAGAAAATCAAAGGTAATTTTACTATTCACCTTCTTAGAGCTCATGTGTATTTATGCACACACACATTTATGGCTGGTTTGTCTTCTTGGTTAGGTTTTGGCTTCTACTAGGATCAGACAGGTTTTTAATTTTTATTTCCCTTTATATTCGTCAGAATAGTCTTTTGTAAAATGTACTACCTAAATAGTATGAACTGTTTTAATTAGTAATTACCAGAAATGTTTTAAAAAATCTGTACATTAGGGGCACCTGGGTGGCTCAGTCGGTTAAGCGGCTGCCTTCAGCTCAGGCCATGATCCCAGGGTCCTGGGATCGAGCCCTGCATTGGGCTCCTTGCTCAGCAGAGAGCCTGCTTCTCCCTCTCCCTCTGCCTGCCTGCTGCTCCCCCTGCTTATGCTCTGTCTCTCACTGTCTCTGTGTCAAATAAATAAAAATAAATAAAATTAAAAAAAAAAATCTGTACATTAGCTTACCTGATTAGATGTTTAATAAATACCTATTAAATGAATAAATGATGTCTCTGTTATTGGTGTTCGAGAAGCTAGCATATTAGTATTGAAGATACTAATCTTTTAAAATAAACTAAACTCTGTTGATTATAGGTGTATACTAATGTACTTTTGCTTAACTTTAGTACTAACCTGAAAACAAGTTCTTGAGGGCAAAATCACCAAGTTTTCCCAATGTTAAATGAATAAATGGATGAAGGTAATATTTTAGAACAAAGACAGTAATAAGGTCTTCCAAAAGAAATTTATATTTACTGGGGCACCTGGGTGGCTCAGTCAGTTGAGCGTCAACTCTTGGTTTTCGCTCAGGTCATGATCTCAGGGTGCTGGGATCGAGCCCTGCTTTGGTTCTGCACTCATCAGGGAGTCTGATTGAGGGTTCTCTCCCTTTCCCCTTCCCCCTGCTGGTGCATGTGTTCTCTCGCTCTTTCTCAAATAAATAAATTATATTTCTATACAAAGAATATGTACTCTTATATTCAAGAGAACATCACTCTATAATCAGTACTGTTCATATTTCTGATGTTTATAGCCAGAGAATAGTATATTTTACTTAACAGAGATTTTCACAGTATTTAACAATTATACATATTAATCTTTGTACTTTTTTGTTACCTGATTATATGAAATAAAAATTAGTTTCACTATTTTTATCTAGTTAGAGCTGTCTAAACAAAAATCCTTTGAAAAGCATTTGAAAATAATAATGTAATAAATGTTTTAAAAACATTTTTCCCGGGTTTATAGATATATGCACCTTTGAATATGAGAATTGTGCTTGATGGCCTTATATTTAGCCTCTCAACAAATTGGTTTCCTCATATGTAATGCGTTTTTTGTTAGATTATCTCTAAGATCCCTTTCCAAATAAATTCTGCCTTAATTAGAAAGTTAAAGTCTTCTAGAGCTTAGCCAAAACAGCTATTCATATCTCTAGACCACATGCCCTTTAGAACTCTTGGTGAGCAATTGCAAAGGAGTGAAAGAATGCCCTAATCTTTGGAACCATTCTGCCTAGTAGCTGAGACCCATGTGGTTCCAAGACAGATCATAGCCTGGGAGGGACACATCTTTTTAAATCACTAACTACCAGTCCAGGTGTTGTTTTTCTTGTTGACATCTCACTAATACTGAATTCCTCCTGAATACATCATTATGTCATTTCTTCCCTTTTAGTGTGAACCTCAGATCCCTGTATTTTTCTGTTTTCCTTCTAATAAACAGCTTTTACTTGTAAAGGAAAAATTAATTTTTAAAAAAGTTATGGATAATTTGTTAATTATAGCATGCTTTCTTATAAATAATCTTCTGAGAATATATACTGGTTTCATTTTCTATAAACCTCAAGAAGACTGATACTGTCTGTTGCCTATTTGGTGTTGTCATAATGACATAAGTAATAGCATTTTCTTTGAAAGACTTAAAATGTGGGGCGCCTGGCTGGCTCAGTCGGTTAAGCATCTGCCTTCAGCTCAGGTCATGATCTCAGGGTCCTGGGATCGAGCCCCATGTCGGGCTCCCTGCTCAGCAGGGAGCCTGCTTCTCCTTCTCCCTCTTCTTTTCCCCCCATTTGTACTCTCTGGCTTTCTCTATCTCTGTCAAATAAATAAATAAAATCTTAAAAAAAAAAGAAAAGAAAGACTTAAAACATGATTTCCAAAAACATAGAAAGGCATTCAGCAACCAACAATTGAAATTATTTAGTTGTTTGTATAACTTTTAGTGGAGAGAGGTTTAAAAAATTCTGGCTTTCCTTTTAGTCTACTTCTATGGCCTTTAATTTTTACTAAAAGCTCCTGTGATTTTGTAGACTCTTCCCCTTTCCATATCTGCCAGAAGTTATCCATTGAGTCATTGTTACATATAAATTGCCTTGTTGACTTTTGTGTTAGACAGAAAATTGAGTGAAACAAATTACTTGCCTTAAGGAGCTTATAGTTATCAATCTTTTAAGCTACAGTTGAAACTTTTTCAGTGAGTTTATATTAAAAGTACTTCTAAAAAGATCAGAGAGGCTCTGAGAGCCTGCTTAAAGGAAGGTGATACAAGCTAGAAATTAATCCAAAGTAACAATTTTATATTGAAAATTTATTCATTTTTGTATTTCTATAATATCATGCTTGTTAAATTTTATTTAACATCAAATAGAAGTGACCCTTGAAGAAGATACATCATACTTAGTGTTATATCTTCAAGCATATCTAGTACTCACAAAGTGTTTACACAAAACTGCACAAAAATAAAAAGAATAATAACCCCGAAACAAGAATAATAACCCACATTTAGTGAGGGTTTATGGTATATTTAATAACAGGATTGATATTAAATATTTTATATGTATTAACTCATTTAAATTTTAATAGTTCTGTGAAGTATGTAATATTTTGTTATCTTCTTTTACTGATTAGAAAAAAGAGGGTCAGAGATGAAGTTGCATACCAGAATTAATAAATGGTTGAGCCAAGATTCAGACCTATGACTAGTCAACTCTGGAGTACTAGTTCTAACCACTATATCATATTCCTTTCTAATGAGCACATGGACAGATTAATGTTTATGGATATCATTAAGCAAATGTTTATTCTTTTTGTATGTAAGCCCTATTTTCTTACTTCATGGTTTAGTATGATGGGTTTTAAGGTATTTCTTCAGTAGCTGGCTTTTTAGAAGACAAGCCAAGGAGATAAGGAGGTGAAGGGAGGATTCTTTCATTGGGAACTTAGACAAAATACACTGACAGCCTTTGAATTTCCTATGAAATTGCTTTCATGCAACAAAGTTGTGGGGTAGAAAAGCTAGTTCCTTTGTAAACAAATAAATCTTTTATTTTTGTGTGCATGTGTATCTCACCAAATAATAGTGGCCTCCTGTATCACAGAGTTACATCGTTAGGGCAAATCAAGGCAATGGTGAAAGTTTCAGACAGTGGTTTATGACATACTTGTCATTCTTTTGAACTAGAAATCTGCTGTGTGTGTGTATGTGTATAAAGAGAAGAGCAAGAAGGAGGAAAAGAGGGGAACTGGGAGGCAGGAAGAGAATGAATGGGGATAAAGGATTGCTGTCATTAGTATTTTATGAGTGTTTATGTCCTGGAGCATTAGGTAAGCCCAGAAGAGGAATGTTAGGTGCAATTGTTATAACTCTGAAAATTCCCCAAAGAGATCTGAATGTGTTTATTTATAATTACTATTTTTTGTAAGATCACTAGAAATTATGCTAAGATTCTTTTAGATAGATGTTCTTTTGTATGCTCTAGTCTCTAATTTTGTGTATTCTGTTTGCACTTTTTTATTACATAATGTATTTTTCTTTTCCCAACAGAACCTCTGTATTACTGGCAACAGACTGAAGATGATTTGACAGTAACAATACGGCTTCCAGAAGGCAGTTCTAAGGAGGACATTCAAGTACAGTTTTTGCCTGATCACATCAACATTGTGCTGAAGGGTCAGAGGTTTCTGGAAGGAAATCTCTATTCATCTATTGATCAAGAAAGCAGTACATGGATAATTAAAGAGAATAATTGGTATATATGGACAGTTGTATTTATATTTAATTTTTTTTTCTTTTTTCTTGTTTTTTAATCCTTTCCACAGTGGTTACACCACAGTTGAATACTACAATAGGTCTGTCTGTATTGCTGATTCTTTTTCTTAAGATAGATGAAAAATGGAGTTACTGTATCAAAAAGTATAATTATTGTTAAGATTAAAGATGCTACTATAGTCATTGTTTGCATTCTGTGGTAGAGCTTTTCATTACCAGCTCTGAATAAAATCATAACAATATAAACAGTAATAATTAATAGATAAAAATGTTTTTGTTTTTGTTTTTTAATGAGAGAGCCTACACAAAAGTTGGGGTAGGGTAGAGGGATAGGGAGAAGCCGACCACCCACTGAGCAGGGAACCCTATGCAGGGCTCAAATCCCAGGATCCCAGGATCATGACCTGAGCCAACGGCAGTCGCTTAACCAACTGAGCCACCCAGGCGCCCCCAAAAATGGTTATTTATTTTAATTAATACTTTAAAATTTTTTTAACTAATTTTCTCATTAATTTCAATTTGCCAACTAGGTAATAATTCCTGTTCTTTCTTTCTTTTTTTTTTTTTCCAAAGATTTTATTTATTTGACAGAGACACAGGGAGAGAAGGAATACAAGCAGGGGGAGTGGCAGAGGGAGAAGCAGGCCTCCTGTGGAGCAGGGAGCCTGATGCGGGGCTTGATCCCAGGACGCTGGGATCATGACCTGAGCTGAAGGCAGACGCTTAACGACTGAGCCACCCAGGCGCCCCTAATTCCTGTTCTTTAGATTTTAAGCTGTATGAAGCCTTCCTCCAGCCCAGGCCCTCCAGTCACCCTTCCCCTCCCCATAACCACTATTATTAGTTTCCTTCTACAGGCATTTTATGCATATCCAAGCAGATATATATTTTTTTTGAACAAAAAAGATTTCAGCATGACTATACATAGTTTTTTACAGCTTGCTTTTGTTGACTTTCAACAATAAATCTTGGATAACGTATACATAATGATTTATTTTATTCTCCTTTATGGCTATTTATGGTATTTTACTCTATCAACTAACTGCACAGTCATTTTTAAAAAACGGTCCTTTATTGTTGGATATTTTGACTGCAATCTTTTGCTACAGTGAATGACTTTCTGGATGATTCAGTAGCTTCACTGAGTGACACAGGTGCCAAACTCAATGAATTCTACATTTAAAATCTGAATTTTACCTATAAAAACCTCAGTAAAAGGAATATGTAAAACAAATAGGTAAAGGTTAAGTGTCTTATAAAACTATAACCTTTGCTTCTGCTTTTATTCCCCTTTGCAAATCTGTTGTCCCAGATGCTTTACTCACTCCCCAGTTATTTGGATTAATAAAATTACTCTTTCATTATGGATTGTCAGTAATTACTGCATTCTGTGATAAAAAGGGTCAAATTTGGTCAGAAGTGGGTTAAAATTAGATATTTTTATCTTAAATATAATTTTCAATTTGTAATAAAAGACCCATATGAGTCTTTGATATGAGTCTAAATCCTGAGAGTCTAAGAAATAGGTATCTACTTCAAAAAAAATTTAGGCTTTATGCTTTTAGATCCTGAATTCATTTTACTAAAGGGGAAATTTAGTGACTTGGTTATACTTTCTTTTTAATGCAGTAAGAAAAATAGATTCATAATTAATGATGTCATTTATAATTTATTGTGAATTATTGAACTATTCAGTGTTCAGTATTCAGTGAATTCAACAAAAAAGAATAATGATTTCTGTGAATCTGATCCCTTGTCTTTCTGTTTCGGGACATGGATTTTTTTTTTAACTGTTCTAGTAATTCTTGCTAACCAGTTTTAATCATGGTATATTTAAGAAATCAGTGTAGTTCTTCCAACATTTTTCATAATTACTCCTGCAAATGTTTATGAAAGTACTTTTATTGTAATTCTCAGAAAAGTATTACTCTTTTAGAGGGAGAGTGAAAAGTTGATCTGAGCTATTAAACTCAATCTCATGGACATGATAGTTTAAAAAAATCCCACCTTCAAGGTAGATGAAAAGATAAAAGTCGTTTAGAGTCCTGACCAACAGTCTTACTACTTCTTTCTTTAGGAATATCATACTTAACCAACACATCCAGTTACACCAATTGAATAGATACCTCATTTTGCTAACAGTTTATCCATTTACCTGGATAATAAACATGTAGAAAAGGACACTAAGATGAAAAGAACCCTGGAATCTAATGTTTCTGGTAATCACCCATCTGACTATGGTTAGGTCACCACGATCAAGCACATTGGCTTTTTGCCTCGTTCTTTGTGAACTTTGACATGCTAACACATTGAATTCCTAACAGAATCTCATAAAATTACTGTCCTAATTTTATTTAATATACAGTGTTATATTAGTTTCAGTTTTATAACATAATGATTCAACAATTCTATACTTAGTGCTTATCATGAGAAGTATACCCTTAATCCCTTTATACTTTTTAACATATTTTAAAAACTTAATTATCTAAAAGGTTCTTTAAGAAATATTTTGTATCTCCACATTCTGTTTAAACATATTTTATGAGAGAGATTTGAGGGTAGCATTTATAAGTTGGCAAACCAACTATAACATATTGTTAATATAAATCATGAAGCAGTAACCCAGCAAAGCTCTAGAATGGCTGGACCTCACACTGATAGCTTCAGCATTTAATACATGAGCATAAACCGGTATTGTTTTCCCATTAAATTTGAGGTACTTGATTACAATTTTATGTTACAAAGGATAATTACAGTGACTGTTGGTGGTATTGGTTTAAAACATGATTTTCTGTACCTGGTTAAATTATTCATCTCTCTCATTTTTTAATAGTTAATGTTCCCTCTCACTTTGGAAGGATTTGTTAACTAGTCTAGGTTATTATGTTATATGGCTTTTTTTTGCTTGGATGGTAGGATCTGATACTAGCTTTAAAATGTAGAAATGCAGGGGCGCCTGGGTGGCTCAGATGGTTAAGCGTCTGCCTTTGGCTCGGGTCATGATCCCAGGGTCCTGGGATCGAGCCCCGCATCGGACTCCCTGCTCAGTGGGGGGCCTGCTTCTTCCCCTTCCTCTGCTTCTCCCCCTGCTCTCTCTCTCTCTATCTCTGTGTCTCGAATGAATAATAATAAAAAAAAAAACTTAAAAAAAATGTAGAAATGCAGTTGTACTAAAAGGATTGCATTGACTAGGTGTGCAAATTTAATGATGGTTCAAAAATTCTTTATAAATGAGATTGTATGAACTCTAGGTAGCAACTGACGAAAAACAGTACTTACACATTCTGGTCACAGTAAACTTTCTTTAGTAGTTATTTACATATATTTGTTCAAAGAGGCAGAATAGTAAAGTAGTGAGGAACATGGACTTAGAGCCAGACTGCTTTCCTAGCTTGTGACTTTGGCAAGTTACTTAACCTCTCAGTGCTTTTTTTTTTTTCTTACTTGTAAAATGAAGACAAAATATTACTTACTTTATTTGGTTGTCATGAGCAATCAATGAGTTAAAAACACATAAAATGCTTGACAGCACCTGGCATATGGGAAGATTAAGTATGAGTTGCTGTCATGATTCATCATCATCATCATTTTCAAGATGACCTTTCTCTTAGAGAATATATTGTAGTAATTTTTAATGCTAATGATAGGAACTCATTACATAGAAAAGATATTTTGTATAGTCTCTTAAAAGAAGTAGTTTAAGAAAAATTTAAAATGCTGTAATTAATTCATGAGGTGGTGATAATAACAACCTTGAAAAAGAATAACTGATAGGTTTGCATGTTCTATTTGATAATTATGATAATTGTTATTATTGTGTCCTTGCAGTTTTTCCTTGCAGTTGTGTTCCAGGGCACAGGTTAGTGGCACACGTGTACCAGAGATGGCACATGGAAAAGGTTGCTTTCCTGTGGAACAGCTACCACCACCCCCACTTTTCTCTGTGTTACAGTACCAACTACTCCTAAAGCAGCTTACGCGAATTTCCCTTCCTATTCAAGAGGCACGTGGGCAACTCCTGTGTCCACAGTCTGCCCCGACTCAGCTCTCTTTCCCCTTCCTGCTGCATCAAACCTTAATCGCAGGATTACGTCGATAGGCCCTTTTTAGTGTATTTGGAATTTGTGCTTAATGGCTTAAATGTACAGAATTAGATTTTCAGTTGATAGAGGCCACATAACTTTTTTCCTCCTAAGGAGTTACCAAGTTAATTATTTTCTAATTTCTGCTTTATTTTCAATTCTTTAAAATACATATTTTAAAAATTAACATTTGTATTGATCTAATTGCCTGATGTTTACATTAATAATTGTATAATTGGCTACTAGCTTGGGGAAATGAAGCTACTTTTTGGCTCCATGCACAAAGAGGTACCTTTAGTTATAGTCCCTGTCCAGTTAACTTTATGTGCCCACCCCAGTCACCACCCTCACCACCACCACCATTACCTGGTAAAAGATCTCATAGATCCACGCTGCTTGCATTTGTCACTTAAGTTCAGTAACACACTGCATACCTGGACTACAACAGTACTTTCTAGGTGGTCTTACTCTTGCCAGTCACTCTTCTCATCAGGCCATTTGACATACTATTTCCAGCGGTATTTTTTTGTTTATTAAGTATAAATTATTTACCCTTGGATTACAGATTTTCCATCTCTATTCCAATATGCAGTACTAAAATTAACACAAGTTTTGGTAAAACATCTCTGGCTGGACACCAAGGCGGGGATAAATTCAATGGAAGATTCTTCTGTTTGGTGTTGATTATGTAATTTATGTGGTTGCTTAATGTAACATTACTTTTCTTGTTTAACTTCTAGCTTGGAGATTTTCTTGATTAAAAAGAATGAAGGACTAACATGGCCAGAGCTAGTGGTCGGTGATAAGCAAGGAGAGTTTATAAGAGACTCAGCCCAGGGTGCTGCAATAGCTGAACGTTTAATGCATTTGACCTCTGAAGAACTGGTAAGCAATTGTAGTAGTAGGGTCATTTTCCAAATGTGAGGATTATGCCATGTTTTTCAAACATTATTTTACATTTGCTAGTGTTAGAGACACAGATTAGGTACTACAGACTGGTGTTTGAATATAGCTTAAAATTCTAATATTCATTCCTTACACCACATGAATACATATATGTGTGTGGGATTGTTGTATAAGATGGGTGTTCATGTATGTATGTATGTATCTATGTATGTACATATATATGTATACATACATCTATATACACACATATTCACACATATACGCACATAAATATATATATTCTCCTTTAGAAGAATCAATAGACCAATACTGGTAGGGATAAAAAAATTAAGATTTTACTGTCTACCTATGCTAATAATCTACTTGTCATCATTGAAATTTTCTAGATTATCTTAGAATATCACTAGGGGTATAAATATATACTATAATTAATTTTGATTGACAAAGTAATTCATTGTAGTGATTACAATAGTACAGTACTCATTCAACTATGAGATTGTGTTGAAATGTTCTAATCTGATAACTTTCAAGATAATGTTTAAAATTTGAATAAAGCATACCGGAATTTTATTTATATGTTTATTCACCAAAAATTATATCAGCACATGTAAAATGTCTGACTTATTGCCGCCTGGAGTTAGAACAATGAGGAAAAAACTGTATAAAGATGTAGTTATACTATAGGGTTAATTGCATCTTAAAGTAGGAAGGAAATTAGAATATTGAAAATAAGTGTCTCCGTCAAAAGAAAGCATGGCCAAAATGGAGAAACCAAATTTCATGTCTGCCAGCAATAATTAAAAATTTCAGGAATCACTAGAATTCATATGTAAGACCATTACTTTGATTTCATAGTCCTAGTGTTACCACAAGACATGTAGACTGCATTGCCCTATTAATGTTCCTTCATTCAGCGACTATTTATTGTGGTGTGCTCTGGGGTAGAATAGTAGTTATAGTAGTGGAGGTTTGTTTTGATACTGTATTTTATTGCTGTTAACTGCCTTTTAAACTTGATTATTTCAAATGAATATTGGTCTGTATGAGTAAGTTATTTATGGCTGAACACCAATGTGTTTGTAACATTTTGGAAAAAAAAACGTAGAATCTTGTTATCTGCAACTGAAGGCTGTCTTATGTGTTTCAAATCTTTATACTTTTTCTTGCTTTTCTGTATTGGTTAGAACCTTTAATCCCCTGTAAAAGAGAAATGGTGAATAGTGAAAGCAGACATTCTTGCCTCATTTGTAGTCTTGGAGAAATAGTTGAATATTTTGTTGTTAAGTATTATGGATTATTTTTGTCATGTTCTGGAAATTTTCTTCTATTTCTGTTAAACTGAGTGTTTTGAATCATGAAAGGCTATAGAATTCTGTCAAATACATTTTCTTCATTTGTGGGATAAAACCCACTTGGTAATGATGTATTATCCTATTTGCATATTACTGGTTTGGGTTTGCTAAATGTTACTGAGGAGTTTTGCATCTATATTTAGGAGGAATGTTGTTCTGTAGTTTTTGTTTTGTCTTTTTACTGTCGCTATCCAGTTTTGATATGTGGGTAATGCTGATGTCATAAAATGAGTAGGGAAGTGTTTCCTGCTTGTTCTATTTCTGGAAGAGGTTGTGTAGAATTGGCATTATTTCTTTAAATATAGAATTTACCAGTGAGACCATCTAGATTGGAGTTTTGTGTTTTGGAAGTTTTTAGCCATGAATTTAATTTCTTTATTATATAAGGATTATTTGGGGCATCTGTTTCCATTGTTTTTTGTTGTTGTTTCAGTTTCCAATTTCATTTCTGTTTTTACATTATTTTCTCCTTTTTGCTTACTTTGGATTTATTTTGCTCTATTTTTCAAAGTGAAAGTTCAGATGATTTTTTTAACCTACTTTTCTCTTGAAAAGCTATATACTTCATTCTAAACAATACTTGACCTGCATCCTGCAAAATTTCATCCTATCTTCTTAACCCCATTAAGGATTGATTTGATTTGGTGCTGTATTTCCATGTTTTTTTACATGGCTGATATTTATTCCTTGTTTGTTCTTACTCCTAAGGCAGAACTTTTCATGAATCTCAAGTGAAAGTCTAGGATGTTTACCAGGGCTTCTCCTGTGTAGGCCCTGTCCTCTAATTTTTGTCTCCCAAACACTTTAATAGTATCAGCACTCAGCTTTTGAGCCCCTTGCATGCTGCTTCTTTCCACTTGTCTTTTTCAGCTCAGCTTGAAAATCAGTAAATGGCTATAGTGAAGCAGCAGAGTCTTGGGTTCTCTTCTCTGTTTATTCCCCTTTCTCTATAGTCTTGTCCTATTAAAATCTGGCTGCCTTGATAGTTCTGACCTTATAATTTTGCCCTCTTCAACATACAGGTAATGGAAAAGGGAAAGGAGGGAGAAGTGCAGAGGGTATTCTGTATGCTGCTGGGCATATATATGTTGTTGAATCACTGAAAAAATGGCCCCAGCTAATTGTTGATATTGCCTTCCCAGCCAAGTATAGCAACCAGAATTGTTTGCACTGATATATAGGCTGGAGCAGACAACCACAACTAGGTGGCTCCATATCCCAGGTGGGACATGGACAGGTTTGATAATATAGATCTATAACTCCCAACCATTTAGTTTCAGAGGCTTTCTCAAGCCATTTCATTAAGTTCTCAATAACATGACAGCATTTTGGCAAACTGAGTGTGTGGACATTTGGTCAGTTGTAGAATTACATTTCTGTTTGTGTGTGTGTGAGTGTGTGTGTGTGTGTGTGTATAATATTTATCACTTGAACATTGTGATTCTTTTACTCTATGAGGGATATAAGACCAGACAGTGATTCTTGCATTTAAGCAATGGAACATATTAAAATTAATGATTCCATTTATCTTCTCTTTTGGCTTATTATTAGCTATACCTCTGTGTTTTTGTTTGGGTGGATATTTGTGTGTGTTAATGTGTGTGTGTGCATGCATGTGTGCTTAGTGGTTGTTCTGGAGTTTACACAGCATCTTTAACTCATCACCATCTATCGTCAAAATATAATTCACTCATAACTTAAGAACTTCACAATATATTTCCATTTCTTCATCCTTTATATTATCATATCAATAATATATTATTGTTTTAACTTTAATCAGTTCTCTTTTAAAGAGATTAGAGGGGAAATCTTACATTGACCCACATACCTGTCATTTCCTCTGTTCTACATTTCTTTATGTTGATTCACATTTCCATCTGTTGTCATTTTTCTCCTGGCTGAAGAACTTCCTTTAGCATTTTTTATAGTGTAGGTTTGCTGGGTAAATTCTCTCAGTTTCTGTTTGCTGCAAAAATACTTAGGTTGTCTTCCTTTTTTAGTATCTTTGTTAAGTACATTAGTCAATGTTGATGGGGGTTTTTTCCCCCTTCACTTTGGTTGTACTCCATTGTCTTCTGGCTTGCATAGTTTCGGATGAGAAGTTAGCTGTCATTTGTATCTTTGTTCCTCTGTTCATAATGTGTTTATTTTTTCCCTTCTGACTACTTTCTTTATTACTGCTTTTCAACAAGTTCATTATAATGTGATTTGCAGTGAGTTTTTTTTAATGTTTCTTGGACCTTTTTGAATCTATAGGATTATAGTTTTCATCATTTGTTTACCATTTCTTCTCTCTTTTTTTTTTCATTCTTTCTGCCCTCTTCTAGTTACTCGTGTGTTAGACCATTTGATATTATTCCACAGGTCACTGCAGTTCTGTGTTGTTTTTTTTTTCCCCTCTCTTTCATTTTAGATAGACTGTTGCTTTGTTTTAAGCTCACAGGTCTGCCATGTCTGATTAGTTGCCAGTCCTATCTTTTTTACTTTCCATTTCAGATACTATATTTTCATGTTTAGAAGTTCAATTTGGTTATTTTTTTATGTCTTCCATACCTCTGTCAACATACATATCTTTTTTTTACGTCTTTGAGTATATAGAACATGTTTGTAATACCTGTTTTAATATCTTTTTCTGGTGATTTCATAATTCTGTTATTTCTGTTTTTGTTGATTAGGATTTATTGGTCATGGGTCTGAAATTCAGTTTTTCATTACTGCTACAATTTTGATCTTTTTAAGAATGAAGAAATCCATTCTCCTATTGTTGAAAGTTTATTTATTTTATTTTCTGGTCTAAGAATCCAAATCCAGATAAAGAAAAACCTCCTTGTAATGCTCAAGAGTTAGAAGAATGTGACATTTTCTTTGAAGAGAGCTCCAGTTTATGCAGATTTGATGGCAGTACATTAAAAACTACTCATGTGGTAAGTTCTTGATCATTGTATTTCTAAAAATTTATGAATACAAGTTACCATGAGATGATAATTAATTGACCAAATGTATAATTTGCAAAGCTGGCTTGATTGGCAGTTACTGGTTATGATTTAAAACTCATCACTCCGTGAAGTGGCAGTTTTATACCACCATCCCTAATAAAACAATGTTTTGTTGTTTTGGTACTATTGCATATTTGAAATCTTGTGATTGGGTTTTTTCTGTTCAGGTTTTTACATATAGTTACAACTAATCTATAATAACCTCATATTTTTTTTATTTGAAATTATGACATAAGTATTTCTTCATGTTCTCATTTCAATCTGGCTTAATGGCTGGGTGACACTATATATAATGTTATTATTGGAGTTCATGTGTGTATGTAGTGATTGTCCGACAGATTATAGTATACATCTTTAATACATTTTTTTCAGTTGCATTATTCATGATGATGCTATTTTTTTAAAATCCCTTCTTTACATGAAGCCTTTTTCTGTATTCAGGTATTTTATCTTAAACAGTTACAGAAGTCAAATTAATAAGTCATAGACTAAGGCTCTGACAAATTGATTTCCACTCAATATTCTCATTAATAATATTAGCAGTTATTACCTATTTCATTGCATCTTTACCTCCCCCTTCAGTTTTTGTTTGATCTTTACTATTTGGTGTGCAAGATACAGGATTTTTAGTCTGGTTTTTTTACTGTTGACTGTTTCATAACATTACTTTTGACTCTTGTGAAAAATTTTTTCACTTACTTGTTTTGGTGTTTCTGACTGACTTGTGTGACCTTCTTTATAAAATGTGTTCTTAAAGAGCATGTATGATAGACTTCCATTATAAGTAGGTTCTTCTTCAGAAAGTTAAGAAATATACATACGATCCCTCATTGTACTGTAGTTTTTAGAGATGATATTTGATAAAACATTTTCAGCATTTTGCACGTACTCTAAAACTGTTTAATCACAGTTTAGTGTTAATTGCTGGTTTAACGCCAATGATTTGCTATTTGTGTATATTGCAAAATGATCACCACAATAAGTCTAGTTAAACATTTGTCACTGTACATAGTTAGAAATTTTTCTCTTATAATGAGAACTTTTAAGATCTGCTCTGTTAATAATTTCAAATATGAAGTACAGTATTATTAACTATAGTCACTGTGCTATACCTCACAATACGCAGTACTTATTTATAACTGGAAGTTTATACCCATTGACACCCTTAATCCATCCCCCAGCCACTATCAGGTGTGAGGTGTGAGGGCATATCTCATGGTGATTTTGATTTACATTTCTTGATGATTAATGTTGTTGAGCACCTTTTTATGTACAAGTTGGCCACCTGTAGCTCTTCTTTGGAAAAAATGTCTATTTAGTTCTTTCAATCATATTTTAATTGCATTATTTTTGCTATGTAATTATAGAAGTTCTTTATAAATTTTGGATGTTAACCCCTTATCAGATATGATTTACAAATTCTTTTTCCTATTCAGGAGGTTGCCTTTTCATTTTGTTGATCATTTCCTTTGCTGTTCAGAAGCTTTTTGGTTCGAAATAGTCCCACTTGTTATTTTTGCTTTTGTTGCCTTTGCTCCAAAAAATCATTGCCAAGACCAATGTCAAGCTTACTGCTTCTGTTTTCTTTTAGGAGTTTTATGATTTCAGGTCTTATGTTAACCTTTTTAATCCATTTGAGTTAGTTTTTGTATATGATGTGAAGATAGTGGTCCAGTTTTGTTCTTTTGCATGTGGCTATCCAGTTTCCCAACACTGTTTGTTGAAGAGACTCTCCTTTCTCCATTGTGCATTCTTGGCTCCTTTATCATAAATTGACCATATATGGGTGGTTTTACTTCTGGACTCTTCCATTGGACTCTGTCTATTTTTATGCCAATACTGTACTGTTTTAATGACTACAGCTTTGTAATATAGTTTGAAATCAGGAAGCATTTTTTACGATTACTTTGGTTATTTGGGATCTTTTGTGGTTCCATATGAATTTTAGGATTTTGTCCTATTTCTGGGAAAAATGCCATTGGGAATTTTGATAGGAATTTTATTGAATCTGTAGATTGCTTAATATAGACATTTTAACAATTTTTCCAATCCGTGAGCATGGAATAGCTTTCCATTTATTTTTGTTTTCTTCAGTTTCTTTCATTGGTGTCTTATAGTTTTTTTTTTTAAAGATTTTTTTTTTTTTAATTTATTTGAGAGAGAGAGAATGAGAGAGAGCAAGCACATGAGAGGGGGTAGGGTCAGAGGGAGAAGCAGGCTCCCCGCCGAGCAGGGAGCCCGATGCGGGACTCGATCCAGGGACTCCAGGATCATGACCTGAGCCGAAGGCAGTCGCCCAACCAACTGAGCCACCCAGGTGCCCCGGTGTCTTATAGTTTTCAGTGTACAGGTTGTTGACCTCCTTGGTTAAATTTATTCATAATTTACTCTTTTCAATGCAATAAAAATAATATCATTTCAATACATGCAGAAAAAGCATCTGACAAAATTCAACATTTATAAAAACTCTCAAAAAATGGGTATAGAGGGATATAATCTCATGCTGAGTGGGGAATCTGCTTGGGATTCTCTCCCTCTTCCGTGTACTCTCTCAAAAAAAAAAAATTCATTTTTAACTTTTGACAGTTTAAATGTGATATGTGATATGTCTTGGTGTGGGTCTCTGAGTTCATCTTACTTGAAACTTTCTGGGCTTCCTGAATCTCAGTGTCTTTCCTGCCCTAGGTTAGTGAAATTTTCAGCCCCTTTCTCTTCATTCTGGGACCCCTATAATGCAAGTGTTCTGCTTAATGTTGTTGCATAAGGTCCTTAAGCTATCTTTGCTGTTGTTTTTTTTTTTTTTTTTTTTTGCTGCTCTGATTTGATAAGTTCTGCTGCCTTGTATTTGAGTTCACTGATCCTTTTTTCTGCTTCATCTAGTCTGCTGTTGAACCCTTCTAGTATATTTTTCAGTGATTGTATTCTTCAGCTCTGTGACTTCTATTTGATACTTTCTTATATTTTCTATCTCTTTTTTGAAGTTTTCACTTTGTTTATCCATTCTTCCATGCTTGGTGAGTATCTTTATGACTGTTATTTTGAATTCTTCATTGGGTAAACAAACCACTTACCTCCATTTCATTAAGATATCTTTCTGAGGTCTTGTCTTGTCCTTTCTTTGGAACATATTCCTGTTTCTTAATTTTCCTGACTTTCTGTGTTGGTTTCTATGCATTAGATAAAACCATGAACTCTCCCAGTCTTGCAGGAATGGTCTCTTGTAGGAGATGAACCTTATTGTTCAGCTCTACCCTAGCTCTTGGTTGTCTCTCAAACTTTTTTGATTGCCCAAGCAGCCTATTTTTACTCTAAGTAGCTCCCAGTATTTGAGGGTGTACCAACACCTGTTAGTGTCCCTAAGTGGATGATCCCAGTTAGCAGCTACATTCAGGCTGATTGGAATCCTGTCCCTCAGGCAATGGCTTTTAAAGTATGCAAAATATATAGTCATGTGGGACCATAAACAGAAGTCCCACTGTTCACCAGAACCAGGTAGACTAGAGGTGTCCCCGGATGGCAGCCACAAAAGTCAGGATGCCAGAGAAGTGTACAAGCTCCTTTCCAGGAGTTACTGGCATTCTGGAACAAGGCAGAGGGATAGCACAATAATAGTACCTGATGGTCTCCATCCCCAGAAAGAATCTCAGAAGTCTCTATATGTGTGTCAAACCAAAAGAAGCCTGTCCCTTGGGCTGAAGTTCCAGGCCAAGTAAATAGGCCTTTTTCACAGAAATCTTGGGATATGTTTCATTATGCTAGTGCTGTGCCCTGGTGGTGGTAGCTGGCCAAGAACTGCATCTCTAGTTGTTATTGTCCCATGGGACCCAGGAATAAAAACCCCACTGGCCCCCAGAGATAGGCAATTAGGGGGCATCCGCTGGGTAGCAGCCATAAAAACTGAGACCACCAGATTAAAACCTGGGGTTCTTGATGTGTATACAACAAGCTTCCCTCTGGAGATGCTGTGGCCTGCAGCATAGCAGAGGGGGAGTGCAAAGGTAGTGCCAACCATCTGAGGTCTTTGGAGTGGGTCTCTCCTTCAGGCTGCAGCTATGAAGATAAGCTAATAGTCCCCTTTTATGGAAAGAAAGACTGGGTACTTCAGATTTTTGCCTCTGTGCTTTGCCCTAGGGGTGGTAGCTGGTTAAGAATGCTTTCTCTGTCTTATATTAGCTTGTGGGACCTGCAAGCCTAAACCCCTCTGGCTACCAGAGCCAGGTGATCTAGAGGCCTCTCTTGGGTGGCAGGCACAAAAATTGGGGCACCGTTTGAGGTTACAGACTCCTTTCTGAGAGGTACCAGTGCTCTGGAGTGAGGCAGAGGGAGAATGCAAAGTTGACACCTGCTGTCTCTGTCTCTTAGGAGAGTGGTAAATTAGATGCTTTAATAAGATAAGCAGATGAACATCTTTCACGGAAAGTCTGGGTACTTTGCAGTCAGCTGCCTCTACGACTGTTAAGGCTGTGCCCCATGGCTCTTTAATAATACTTTCTCAGTTCAAGCTCCCTTGGCTTTCAGACATAGATGTTTTGGAGACTCATCTCTCAAGTGCAGGTCATAAAAGGTGGGGTGCCTGATAATGGTGTTAAGCCCATCATTCCTCAGGGAGTAGCTCAGTGTTTCAAGTTCCTCTTGATTATAGGTGACTGTGCCAGAGTTTATGTGTGGTTCATGGTGAGATTATATCTCAGCCCCTCTACCTGCTTGGATATTTTTTTTTTTCCCCCATATGTAGCTGTAGGTTCAGTGTGACCATGTGAGGAGGTCAGTTCAGGATCTTTCTGTGCTCCCATCTTGAACTTAATCTCCTAAATATCTTATCTTTGTTTCAGTTGCATTAAATTTGAGTTTCTTTTTTTATAATTATGAGCACTTTGATTTTTCTATTATTAGACATTTTATATAAATAAGCAAAGATTCTGTGAAGT